AGCGTGTCAACCAAGCTGCGGCCTGAGGTGGCGGGGTGGTGGCGGATCCTGAACAAAAGAGACTTGAGAGCAGAGGACCCGGCGGCCATCCTGATGCACATGTGTGTCCGCTCAACCTGTGGATCAGGAACGCGTAGTCAGGAATGCTTGTGGTCAATTCCTGCCCGCCTGCTTGCCCGCCTTGCTCTGCCGAACGAAGCACTCTCTTTTCTTTCGCGGGCCGTGCCAATCGAAATGTGCAGAAAATGCCGAAAGCATCCGAAAGTGTACAAGTGGAGCCGAAGGCGAAACTTCTCCGCAAAAGTAGCCGAAGGCGAAACTTCTTCTCCGCAGCGTGTCAACCAAGCTGCGGCCTGAACCACCCAACCCACCCACGGGGCCAGCTGCGAAGCACTTGAAAGAGCAACAAAAACAGCGTGAGGTAGTCCACAGGGCGGGCAGGGAGGGCCACCGTCACCGTCTGAGGCGGGCCGGGCTCTGCAGAGGGCTGCGAAGACGGCGAAGACGACAAAGCCACCGTAGTAGTCGTCGGCGTCTGGGATTCCACCCAGGCGTTATATAACCACTCAATGATCTGGGACTCCAGGTCAGCTGCCAGCAAAGCCATTTGCGTCAGCAGCTCCTTCAAGATGCGACCACTCAGGCGCATCAGGAGGCTTGCCACTATCCTCACACTCATCGCCACTAAGAAGGCGATCAAACGTGGGAACATCATCACCAGCAGCAGCAGGCCCAGAGTCTTCACATTTAGGCGGCTCAAAAGCATGCTTAAGCGTTGGCGCCACGGCGAGGGCGCCGAAGCCGCCCCAGCAATATCCACACCTCCACGTAGTGGCCGAGCATGAACAGGCTGAAGAGGTTCGGCTGGGACCCCGCCGCGTTCCACAGCAGAACCAAGACTTGGAAACACCGAAGCCAAACCTTGACTAAGGCGAGCCAGCACCGCTGTTAAACGCCGTCCTTCAGGCCCAGAACGCCACCGAGCCGCAGACTGCGTGCCATCATCACTTGCCAAAACTTCGGCAGCCGTAAGGCCCTGAGCAATTTCCTCATTCCCCAGGGCAGAGGCTGCCTGCGTCATCGCCGTCCTCAACCACTCCGCGGCCCTCGTTGGCCCATTCAGAGCTGCAGGATTGGCAGGGCCTTGTTTGGGAAGTGAGAGGACCAAATTTCCCGAGCTGTGGCCTCGTCTGGCACGCGGCGCAGACGGGCGCTCGAGCCGGATAATCGGCCGCCTTCGAGGCTCGCCTCCAAGGTCTTCCATTGCCCACGGAACAGGCCCACGTTCGCCGGCTGCTTCGGGTTGGCAAGCACCAGGTAGAGGCGGAGGTCAGGGTGGTACTGCACACTCGAGCCACACGGTTCCCGGCCTGCACTGGCTGGAGTCACCAACGACTGCGCCCGTTGCGTGCCTGCAACCGGCCGCGACTGCGAGGCTTGTCCTTCCCACAGCCACGGAGACTCCACCTGCAGCTCCTCGAGTGCGTCCGCCAGCTCCCGCAGGGCCAAGACGACCCGCTCAGTCATGACGACAAAAGATCTGTGAGCCGAGCCGATGGCGGTGCACTCAAACGGCTCACATGTTGATGGACAAGACGCTGCAGTTCAACTGCCCGATCAGTGAAATGCATGGTGGTGTACATGGAAAAAGCATCATGCAAATAGTGTCGTAGGGTGCTGGCCTTTGACCATCGGCCCAGGTACTGGAGAGCCGCCAAGTTCTCCTTCTCACGGAAAACATGGGTGGCACCTCCAGCTCTCATTGATGCCGGGCTGAACCCAACACCATCAAGCTGCAAAGCTTCCATGCCGGCCTTGAACACATTAGCCCATTGATGTCTCTCCCAAGGGAACAGCTTCTTCCCCCTCTGATGTGCGTCACGCCACCATCGCATCCACTTCATCATCGCATCGTCTTTCACCAGCACAAACTGAGTCTTGTACACCCGACGTGTTTTGGGCCGCCGGATTACGATCACCATCCCTGGCGAATCGAGGCCCTCCGCACCCTCTACAGGCAAGGTCACATCTTCAAACCGGAGGTTGTACACTTCACCCGGGCGTAGAAGAGCTGCAAAGCTAAGCCACGAACCCACCATCACACTCCACCATAGATACCGCGCGCGCCCTTGTACCTGGTACCCCTTTGCGAGACAGACCAACAGGAAAGACTGCAGCGTGTAAAAGGTGATCGGCAGCCTCGAGCGGCTCGGTGCAAGATGCCTCCACGCCTTCAGTGCCGCCCACGTGCCCGGGAGAGTCGAACCGGACAGCCTCCACAGCCTTTGCATCCCCAGAACCCCCAACGTCACGTAGTACAAGCGCTCACCACCACGATGAGCATCCTCCACCGCTTTCTCCAGCCACCGATCGATCACCCTGGCCGGCGAGTTCCGAAAAAGTTTCCCACCACAACGGCCTACTCGATTGAAGAGGTCCGCCGCCGCCTCGCGCAGCCTACGTTTATAGTCCCTGCTCAGCACCGCATCCCGACGTCGCGGCGCCATAGCTCCAGTCACCGAGGGCCCGGGCGAGGGATTCACAAAAGCCCCGGGGATATCCGCCACACTCTGTGCCTCCCGTTTGAGCAAGTTGAGCAGCATGCCGATGGTCCCCAGGGCAAGCACGAAGCACCCCACCATAATGCATCCATGGTAAGGTAAAGCAAATTTTCGCAGCCCCCTTCGTTGACAACCCACTCCCACTCGCTTCCCGATACGCACACCAGTTCACCTTCTCAACAGAAACCCCGTCCTGTGAGCACAAACTCTGAGACTCAGGCAGCAACCAGGCCCGCGAAGAAGTCGGATGCTCCAGAGCAAAGAAGGCCCCGACCTGCATCGCCAAGCGTGCTAGGTAGACCGACCGGCGCCACAAAGCATTCCCCTTTCTCACCTCAGGTCGCTGCTCATCACCTTCCGGGCAATCATTGGGCCGAAGAGGTCCTGTAGCAGCAAGGTTACGAAGAGGCGAAAACGAAGAAGCCGGGGGAGCTAGCCAGATCCATTGCACAAGTCCTTCGATCAGCATCTGGTCGATGCTAGTGTCAAAAGCGTCCCGACCTTCATTGATCTCCACAGGTGGATACATCAGGTGCCCTGCTGCTCGGTGGGCCTTGGTCAAGACGGCCGTGCCGGCGAAGATCTCGAGGCCCCACAACGCAGGACCTGGTACACCATAAGCTGACATCCACTTTGGAGCAATCTGGGGAGGAGGCACTCGAGCACCACGAGAAGGATGGTCCGCTGGGTTGGACTGTGTTTCCACCCAAAGGATGGCAATGGTCACATCCCCGAAAAGTAAGAAAGGAACCAAGCTTCGCAGCAAGCCATTGACCTTAAACGAGGAAGAGCGCCCCTTTGCTGTGGCCCCAACCGAGACCTTCGAATCGTTGACAAAGATCTGCACGCGACCTCTTTGAGAAAACTGGCTTGCCACACGACAAAGTTCTCGCTTAAACGCTCTCAGCTCCTGCAAGTTTATGTGGGAGGTTTGCCTGAAAGTGTAGCTCGAGACCACCCGCCACCTTAGACATTCACAAAGAGCGCTGGCGAACTTGCTGGGCTCTGTGGGGGTCGAGGCGCTCACCTTGAGATCCTCCTCCCGGTCCAGCCGAACAGGAGAGCCACGAACTTCTGAGCGCCTCCAAAGCTCCTGCGCGAGCTCAGGCGAAATCTGAGCAGAGGTGGCACCCCCGCTGGTCGGGGTGGCATCGGTAGCGATGAGCTCCTGACTGAGTTCCTTGCGCATGTGCCACACAGCGAAAGGAAGGTGCAGCGCAATGGACCTCAATTCGTCCACGATGTGGTTTGGCAGCCGAACCCAACGCTCACTCTTCGTGCTCTCTATGTATCTATAAATGTGATGCTGCAGACTGTAGAACTCGCGCCTATACTGGAAAATGAAGCACACGAAGCCGAGGACTCTCTGCAGGATTTCCTTCGTACAAAAGCCCAGCTCCACAATCTTGCGCAAGATTTGCCACACCTGCCTCCGTACACTTACTGGAGCTCCAGCCCGACCTTGCACACCGTCCACCTCGGCCCCCCAAGCTTTGAACTCGGTCTCACATCTGAAGGCCTTGTGCTCGGCCCTCGACAGGTTCGCCTTGAGGTAGGCGCGCTCGGCCGCCTTGGTCATCACAACATCCGGATCTGAAGGTAAAGGAGCTGGTGCTTCAAACGTGCCATCAAAGGGGACAGGGTGTTTCAGCAGCAGGCGGTAGGCAATGAGCAGGTCGTCTAAATAAGCTCCCTGCCACAGGCGTCCCTTCGGGACCATCTCGCCGTACACCAGCGTACTGTCGGGAGACAGCAAACCTTCTCCACGGAGCACCGACTCATGGGTAGCTTGCGCTATGGCACATCCATTGATATCCCCCATGCCCAAGACCCTGAGACAAGCCCTATGCGGCACCGAAGGATCCAGGCCTGCTTCTGCAACCAGACCTCGATCAACACGACGTCCAAAACCATTGAACCTGACCCACTCAGAGGGGAGGGCAAGGGTATAATAATAGTTCCGAAGGTCGTCGCCTGATCCACGCAAAATCTCGTTGTCCGCTAGCAGCAGCCGGCAAAAGCAGGCGCCAGCCGGGAGCCTGGCCCAATCGAGGCGGGCCATGGTAGAGTTCTCTGGCCTCCGATCAAAGATTAAGCGGTCCTCTCGTTCGTTCTTCCGCACCGCGAAGAGGCCACCAAGCAGGAGCCGGCCATCCTGGCGACGTGGAAGCTCACTCTCAGGAATGAGAGAAATCATCTTTGAAGCCAGCAAACGCCTAAGGAGCGGCGTTTCCTCCTCAATCGGAACCCGATGGCAAGCCTGCACTTCCTCTCCCCACAAATGTTCAGGTCGCCGTAGAGCTTGCAAGTTGTCGACGACCTGGGCCCGCACACTATCCAAGCACCGTCGAGGATCAACTTGACCCGCCTCCTCAGGGATCGCAACTCGGTCTGCCACCACCGGCAGAGCCGAAGAAAGCCTCTGACTCTCCACTTTCACAACACCACTGTAGCATGCACCTGTACCGGAGGCCACAAGTTCCTCCAAGTCCTTGCGCTTGCCTTCACAACTTAGTGCTCCAGACAAAACATCGGGACTAATGAAATTAGCCACCTCGCCAAGCAGCTTGTCGGCATATGGTCGAATGCCTTCCACACTTGTGTGGGCCACTCGCGGCTCAAACGCACTTCCTTCACCATCGGGGCACCCAAGCACCACAAAGTTTGACCAGGCCACCAACGTATTCACGAAGACCCGGCCCCACTGCAGCGCGTCAAGCGACTCCCGGGCACGTCCTTTGGCACCAAGCACCTCAGGATAAGGAAGAGCACTGGGAAAAAGCGGCGCGTTGGCACCGGACCGTTCCAGTAGGTAACCATGGGCACGTTCCAGCCACGCGAGATACTTCATAAAACGAGTTGAATTCCGGCCGGGCAAGGCGGGGTCAACAAAGGCCCCGTCGCCCTTTCCATGCACGTCCAGGCTGAGCCTCACTTTCGGTGGCTCTTGCCACCCTCCTCGGCGTCCTCGTCGCCTTGGTCCTGGTTCCCGGCCTCGCGCACCTTCTTCTTCAGCTTGCTTAGCGCCTCCATGTAGCCGCTCACAATGGCCATCTCTTCGCGGCTGCCCGCGAACTCGCGGCGGCTCAGAGGATCGGCCAATCCCGTGAGCAGCCATGCTGCCTCCCAGTCGCCGCCGGCCATGACAGCTTGCATCTTGGCCTTGAGGTTCTGAGCCAACTGGGCCGTCGCGCTTTCGACTTCGCCGGCCCTCAGCATCTCGTAGGCTGCAGCATCCATGATCGCGCACCGGAAAATCCCCTTGAACTTTCCCCAATTCTGCTTCTTGACATAGTCCTTGAGTGTCCAAGCCTGCCCCGGGATGATGCCCAGCTCTTTCACAATCTCCCGCTCGAACTCGTTGTAGATCTTGCTGGGCCGGTCCTTGATTCGAGCATGGAGCTTGTTTAAAGAAACCACAGCCTTCATCCCAGACTTCGCGAAGTCGTGACCGTCGCTTTCGCTCTCGGAGGACGAACCACCAAGGAGTGCCGAACTCTTTCCCCTGGCCTTCTCGCCTTTCTCGCTCTTCATCACCATCGCAAGCACCGCCAGGGGCAGCATCTCTGAGGCACTTTGCCCCTTTGAAATGCCGTCGGCCAAGAGCGCGCGCACGTTCAAGCCCTCCTTCTTTGACTTCTTCTTGGTGTCCTCGACTTTTCGTCCTCTCGCAGGGGCCCCCGGCGCCAACACACGCTGGCTGCTGCTCGCCGCTGCCGTGAAGTCCTGGTCGGCCTCCTCGTCGTCCTCTTCGCTGTCGGTCGCGTCTCCGAACAGATGGGATAGATCTTGCATTTCCTGCTGAAGCCCTTTCTTTGAAGCTGCTCTCGAGGGCTTTGGGCGGGGCACCTCGGCCTCGCTGCTGCCCAAACCCTTCACATCCACCTGCCGCCATACAGCACGTGAAGCGGTCCAGGAGGGCAGGGTGCTTGGCAAATTGCCCTTCCACACGGCTGGCTGGGATGTGGCCAAACTGGTCTGAGGAACTCGAACAAACAGTAGCCTCTCGGCACCGCTCTTGCCCTCGATGGCCCCAGGAATATTCACTGAAGTCGCCGGCAAGGCTGTACCGACTACTGCCTCGTCATCTACTAATTCCACAACCCAGCCACAAATTGGAACCAGTTCGTCCTGAGCTCCCTTAAGGATCAGAAAAACCAGCTCACCACCAGCCAGAACCATGGCTGGACTCTATCCTGAACAAAAGAGACTTGAGAGCAGAGGACCCGGCGGCCATCCTGATGCACATGTGTGTCCGCTCAACCTGTGGATCAGGAACGCGTAGTCAGGAATGCTTGTGGTCAAACCCTCTCCCTCTCTCGCCGGTTTTGCGAAAAGCTGAAACCCTGAACTCAAGCTCATAACCAGCTCTCCGGGATCTGGATTTGGGTAGTTGTCCAAATCAGGGTCCCTCTTAGGGTCCTCTTTAGAAGGGTGCCGACCCTAACTTAGAGAACTGCCCATTTATAATGGAGGGACTAAAGAGGGGATACTTTTGCCTGGTTGTCTCCATCATCGTGGTCATGGTCGCCTGCAGCAGAGAGTGTCTCGTTCGCTTGGGATTAGAAACATCTTGGAGACCCATGACTGAAGCTTTACGCCCTCCTAGCTGCCCTTCTGGCTTCAAGACACATTCCTGGTGTATCCAGAGACAACGCACACATTCATGAGAAGTTGGTCCCAGGCACACTCGGGCTCGCGTTCCGCAGCAGGGAGACCGACGAACAGCTCCATCAAGAAGTGCTTGGTGCTCTCCCAAGACCTGACGTCTGCACGCTGGTCGTACATGGATTGCATGGGCACGCTGGCCATCCACTCCGTGAAGCTGTGGTAGACGCCCGAGCCATAGCGAGCGATCTCATATGTGGCTCCTGCAGAC